ATAGGAAATAAGATGATGTAATCATCATTAGTTTAGACAAATTTTACTATTACTATCATACAATATTTAATAATGCTACTAATAGATAAAATCAATGGAGAATTCGTTGTCTCGTTTTTTTATTTTTCTTTCTTTTTTAGTTTAATTAACTACATTGATATTAGATAAATTTATAGTTGTTACTGTATGAATTATTCAAAATAGTTCTATTTACTAAGAAATAGATGAACACTGTGTCAAGAAAATTGATATATATATTTATGACCTTGAGTATGTTGCTGTTGGATTTCATACGTTGATAATAAAAGCAAAAGAAAAATAGAAAAATAATAATCATTTATTTTAATACAATCTAAATAATGTCAACAAATTCAGACAGAGTTTCTATATTTTTTTGTCTAGTTGGTGATAATGTATGATCATCGTTATTCAATCTCTCATTCATGTGTATGCACATCATTCTCGAGGGCACATTTTGTTCTTACTCTCGATGTTTGTTGTCACTCCGTTATTCTCGATTTTTTAATGGATATTATACAATGAAGAGAAACAAGAGACAAGCGAGGCGCATCTCCTTTTTTTTTTTGTTTCTTGATTCTCATTTGTCTTGCACTATGGAAGCTTAATTATTCATGATCAAGAATTTACATAGCACGCACGCATAAGAGAAGGAAAAGAGAGCAAGAAAAAAACGACTAGAATAAATGACAAAAGTAATAAATACTCTATATATATATATATATATTTGTACGCTTATCTGCTTTTCTAAAACCGATAAGATCTAAGATCTTTTCCTTTCTTTTTAGACTAATCATTCTAATTTTAGTTTTTTTTTTCTTCTTCTCTCTTTCAATAAATAGAGTCAGATAAACCATTGAGACATAATAGAAGAGAAGAAAAAATAAAAAGGAATAAGACCTTTCTTCATTATTGACTAAGAGTAATCCGAAGCAAACATTCTGTGTATATACACATATAAAGATAGACAAAAAGAATAAGTTTTTTTTTCTTTTTTTTTTTGATCAAAAATCATGTTTTACTTGTTCTTAGTCAATAACAACAACAACAACAACACAACCATCATCATCAAACGATATTATTCGTACTGATTACGATTCTGGTTATATGTCACAAAGTCTTCTAAATCGTACATCATCTTATGCATCATGTTATTCAGCTGTTGCAACAATAATGCCAATATCATCAATAACTCGACATGGATCGATAGAAAGTTTATTACATGGACATTCAAAATCAAATCCAGCAAATATACGTATTATTGTTCGAAAAAATTTTGAACCATTTGCTCAAGCACATATTAATGTTACAAAAGGTAAAAAAAGAAAGAAAACGAAAGAATCAGAAAATGATTATCGAAAAAATAAATTATATTCATTAAGAATATTTTCTGAAATTATTTTGGATACGTCTCAATTCATCTTAGTAATATTAAATGACACTCCAATAGATTAGGTCTTTTTTCCAGGTGACCTATTATAGATATATTTGCTAAAGGTCTAATTATAAATAAGAATAGAAATTTTCTACTCGGATAATATTTAGAGGTACTAGCGACTGCTTCAATAGTCTAATAATATTTCTACGATGAATAAGTTTCATGGATGCACATCCTCATCAGAATGTAACTGACATAGTTAACATATTGACTGTCATTACAGAGATAGATTGAAATAGCTAATGTATATTATAATATAGAAAAATATGCTATCATATGGATATTTTAAGATATTAATATTAAAAATTTTTCCTATAAGAAAAAAAAAAATCAATATACATGTCTTTGAAGTATATAAACATCACGGATTTAATTATGACGCATCCTTTAACATAATATCTATACTCAAATAAAGATCTGATAATTTAAGAATCCTAATTTATATGCTATAATTAGACATACTTTTTTTTTTGTTTTATATCTTGATTTCTGTAAACATATATTGTTTATTTGTGTTTTTTTTTCTTCTTCTTTCATACAATACTCATATTCTCATTAGAAACATAAATCATAGAATACATTTAAAAATCATTCATTCTTTTCATATAAATATATATTTAAGGTCATTCTTCATACATACGTTAAAGAAATTCATTCTGGTCTATATATATATACACATATCAAGTTATTTTTTTTCTCCTCCTAACTTCATTGAATCATATAAACAATTAAATACTAAAATTACATAACGAAGAATAATTTAAATATTCTAAAAAGAACTTTTCTTTTTCATCTGATTTAACATGCAATTTAAGAAAGAAAAAAAAAAAAAAACGATAATGATTTCTTTTATTTCTTATCATAGGTACGATTGTTACAGCATTATTTTCACGTGGACCATGGCTTTATGTACGTATAGATTCTAATGGTAAAACAGGTTATATTCCACGTATAATATGTTCATTATATGATAATAAAATGATAAAAACAAATAATTTATCAATATCATCAACTGATTCATCATTTAGTAAAGATGATGAAATAAATATATTAAAAATATCTTCAAATAATGAAAAAAATTTTCATTATAAATATAAACAACCAATAAATCGATATTTATCACATAGTTCGGCTATAATTAATAATAATCATATAAATCAACGTATAGAACAAATTTCTTTTGATGAACGTGAAAGACGTAATACATATACTTTACCAAGACCACCACGATCAAATTTATCATCATCAAAAGATCGTCGATTAACAGTTAGTTCTATTAATTATCCTTCATCAACAAATAAACAATCATCAATTAATATGAATAATGAGATATCAATAACTAATACTAATAATATAATACCAACACGTGATACTGATTCATCAAGTACACAAGATTCAGGTTATTCTGAATCGACACCTTTTTTTCTTGTACAACAATCAACACCAGATAATGAACAACCATCATCACATTCAATCATAAATGCATCAAAAGTATGTCTATATAAATAATCTCAAGTTTATCACAAGAGATTCATAGGGCAGAAATTGATGAACGATAAGGTAACGAGACTTACGAAGAAATCTTCTCAATTGCTTTTGTCTTGATCTTTATTTTCTGGTTTTTTTTCAGAAATTGATTTCATAATTTATAAAAATTCTGTATTGAAATTCAAAAGAAATATAAAACTCTGATTCTAATCTTATAGTTTAAAGTATCCTGTTGACTTTTGTAATTGATTGACAAATGAATAAACTGTCACACTATCCGTTAAACTTAAAAAGTTGATATTTCTTTCAACATCGTAAACAATCTTTTTTCTCGATAAAAAAAAAACTTGGTTAAATTACTTTTTCATTCAGCATTTTTTTTTTTACTCTCTAAATAAAACAATGATTCAAGTATTGAAGAATATCTTTAAGTATTGAAAACGACAAGAACACTTTTTCTTAATGACACTTATTCTTGTGTTCAATAGTCTAGTCAAGAAACAAAAAAAGAAATTCATTTCCCTGTAGAGTATATCGTACTGTATTTGATGATGAAAATAAATTAACCATCGATTAAAAAGCAAAAATCGATCTCACATTTGTTTCGATTCATTAAAACAATGTTTTAAATTAAAAAGAAAAAAAAAACTAAAGAATTTTTCTCATTTAAGAAACCTCTTTCAACACCACATTATGCAACTGTTCGACGTTCAGTATTTCTTAAAATTCCTGATTCAATAAATCCAAGTCAACCAAATCAAAAACAAATACATTCAACTCGAAATCATCGACATACACTTCTTAATGGTATATCAATGAATGATATGATAAATAATGATTCATCTAAACGTCATACATTTGGAACATTTGATAGAAATACTACTAATACTAAAGATAATTCAAAAGAAAATTTAAATTTAAAAATATCAACAAAAAATTCTGTTAGTCGTCTACGTGATTTTGCTTTAATAAGAAATGTTCGTCAAGATAAATCACAATTACAACAAAGACTTAGACCATCAATATATAATTTACCTAAAAGTCATATACAAATTCCAGCGAGTATTTTTTTAAATCATCATCGACAAAAACAACAATTTGGAAGTTCTCATAGTGCTTTTCGTCCTGTTCAACCAACAATTAAACATAAACGAGCATCAAGTGAAGGTCATTCACCATCAATATCAACAGCATCATCATCATCATCATCATTATCATCATCAAATTCATCCTTAAATGTTGAACAACATTTTTCTAAACGACGACGTTTATCATGTGATTTACCTGTTCCATTATTATCAAAATTAAATTCAAATAGTTTAACACGTTCTGTTTGTGATCAATCATCACCATCATCATCAATAAAATTAAATAATTTTTCTCGTACAATGAGTGATATTATATGCGATCAATTTAGTGAAATAAATATTGATGCAATTGAAAAAGATTCACTTATTCATCATCAACCAAAAAAATTACAAAATTCTAAACATTGTCTATTTACAATAATTAAAGATTATCGTAGTTCACGTGGATCATTTTCAGTACAACGTGGTGATTGTGTTTATATACTTAAACAAATAGGACAAGCATGTTATCTTGTTCGAAAACAAACTAATGGACAAATTGGATTTTTACCTAAAACATTATTACAACCAGCAACATCAACACGAATTGATACTTTTCTTGAAACACATGGATTTCGTGAGACGGTTATTTAAACATTTTTATTTGGTTGGTTCTCTTTTTTTTTTTGTTTTGAATAGTTGTGAAAATCAATATTATTATCATTGTACGTTCTAATTTTTCTTTCTTTTTTTTTTGCTTCGGTTTTTCTAGTCCTTTATTTTGTTTTGTGTGTTGACACCTAATAGTTGATTTTATGGACAATGACTATTAACGAACTTGTTTTTTTTTTTGTTTAACATAACATGTAACAAGATAACAACTCAGGATCATAAAAACAAAAAACGGAAAACTATTAGCTTCAGATCTAATTCAAATTTTCTTTATGACAAAAATTTTTTCTTGTTTAAATTTCATTGAGTGATAATTGATGTTTGAAGGACGAATAAGAGAATGGCCTGATGGTCTAGTGGTATGATTCGCGCTTCGGGTGCGTGAGGTTCCGGGTTCGATCCCCGGTCAGGCCCTTTCTTTTTATTTTAGTTTTTTTTCTTTTTCATAATCATGAATAGTGTAATCAATAGATGTTATAAATAATGAGTAATGACATATTTCTAACTAGTAATTCCTTAAATGTCATTGATGTATATATATATATATGTCAAAGCAAATCTACATGGAAAAATACATACTACGATCCTTTAAAGGAATTCCCTCTCCGAAAAAGTTAATTGTGGTTAAATTTATCGATTTTGTGATTTATAGCTCGCTAGATAGAGCAAAGTGTTTAATTCCGTGACAAAGATTTTTTCTGAATATTCATACAGTAGAAAATAACATTTTGTTTCTCTAGAAACTTTATTTTTATTTAATAATAATAACGAGCATTATTGTTTTGAAATTGTTATCTATTGACATCATAAGTTTTAATTGATTAAACACTCATCTATATTATAATAACAATTTGTTTTTTCATATCTATTTAGATATATTGATGAAAAATCATGTAGTAATAGAGTTTCCTTTTTTTGGAAGGTCAATCACCACTCAATACACTTTATGATGATAATGCTACATCACAGATTAGGGCAATTGCATGAGAGTGTCGCTTTGAAGATGGACCGACTAATTACTGTAACGGGCAAAATAATTGTTAAAAAGCTTGTCATCAAAGACCATCGAATGACAATGCAGCAAATAGCAGATACTCTAGATATGTCATCGGATATTGTACATGACATGTTGCATGACCAACTACAAATAACTATAAATCTGTTTAAGATGGGTACCATATTTACTAACATTTGACTAATGAGACGAGCGTACTTAAGCATATCAAGAATTTGTGGTTTGCTACATTCTACACACTGCTGGCAAAGTATTATATTTATTTTTCTAGAATCATAAACGGTTAACTCTCAAACAACATGTATCACTGAGTGTAACAATCATTGTAGTATATTACGCACATTTGTTGTTTCTAATTTTAAAGTATCTACTTAGGGGAAAACATTCCAATCAATAATTGAAGTTCATTTTATTCATCATCACATCAGTCTCTATACTTTGTAGCTGAAGATGACTTTAGAATAGCTATACATAAAAAAAAAACATATTTATAATCATAACTCATTTGTATTTTTTAAAATAAAGTCAATCTCGGAATTTATTGAACGTTCTAGTTATTTTGTGATTTTCTTCTAAGAGGATGTTTTAATTTTGACGCTTCCATGTGTTTCTGCTTTTTCCGCCATTTCAAAAGCTAAAATGAAATCATGTTAAGTTGTAGCAGCAAGTCTTGACTACACTTGAAATCCAACTCGAGTCTTCTAGAAAAATTTGGAATTGTAATTCTCTCTACCAATTCTCGTACTTCACATTGATTATCGTCCTCTTTGTCAAGAGTAACCTTTCTAGTTTGTGGAATTCACATATACAGGGTGTCCCAAAAGTCCGTCGGAAAAGTTAATTCAAATATCTCTTATACAACTCAAGCAATTTAATTGATTTTTTTATAATGTGTTAGTATGTTCTTTAAAGTTTTATTTCACATAATTTAGTTTGCAACAAATATTCAAAATGATTACCATGAAGTATAATACCTAAATCCATCGTTTTTGAAATCTCTAAAAAAAATTGCAGAAAGTTTATTTTCGAGCTAATTTCGTTTCGTTATCGGTTCTTATTTTGAATTCAACCAAATCTTTATATATATATCTTATGTATATAGGTCTCTACTTTATATTTGTTAATAAACCATTCAAATGAAAAGAGACTTTGTATGAAAAAAAAGAGCTCTTCTGATTGTGGATATTTTGTAATTTGCGTATCAAAGTGATATAATTTCAACTCGATCTTATGAATCTTCTCTATGACATGATAGGAGAAATTACACTCTATATGGATTCATTAGATGATATTCAGTGATAATTCGTCCTGATATTGTCCATGGAATGAAGTAGGCTGTTGCAACAACCCGAACACTTGATAGTGGCACATTTTCACAATTATCATAAACTTTGCTGATTTTCTCTTTTGTAGTTTTTGAAGGTCTTTCAAATTGTTGTCTGTTTACTACTATACTCATTTCGCAAAGGCCTTGAAAAGCGGCAATAGCACAGTCCATGTGTAGCGTTTTTATGTCAAATTCGACTTGCATTTTTCCTTTCACAATGATAGGTAACTCAAATTTGGGCATTAATAGAACTATTCTAATTCTAATAGTTATAGGCACAGACATTTATCCAAAAATATACAGAACAAAACTTTAAAGAACATACTAACATACTATAAAAAAATCGATTAAATTGCTTGAGTCGTATAAGAGATATTTGAATTAACTTTTCCAACGGACTTTTGGGACACCCTGTAGTTTCGAAGAAAATAGTGGGTGTAAGTTTTAAGGTCAAGGTTTCGCGGCTCTTTCCCTCTCCCTTTACAAACAGGCTCCCATTATAGACCATAGCAACGTAGGCCATCATTACAGACCGTAGCAACTTCGCCAAAATAAAGAAAACATTTCTGTTCGAAATATAGAGATAAAAAAGACAACATTTTGTGATAATTGATTATCATTAGAAAAGAATTATTATCTTTTGGAGAATTTAAATATTGAGTATTTTGTGATTAGTAGAATTAAACCAAAGAAGATATGTGAGTTCCACATTTCAGCCACAAAAGGACTGCGCTCTAACAAGCTTTTCAATATAACTTTTCTTGCAGAAGATCGTCCTTGAACTGACAGTTGTTTCTCAATTTATTGTACTATTTTCTTTCAAGATAACAGTGACAGACGGAAGTATGCCATTAAACAAAAACTTGATTTCCGAACTCATTTTTTTCAATTTACTACGGTAGTATTATTACCCTTTAGCGCGTATAATTTTATAAACACATTCCACACGATGGAACTCACTATAGAGTGATCAAAAACTGTCTTTACCCCTGAGAAAATTAAATGTCTCTGTCATATTTTGATGGAAGAGGCTGGTTCTTTTATCACTGGTAAAGAGAACTTCATAACTCATATTAATACGAGAAACATTGATAAAAACTGTTTTGAAGTATTACCATTGTCTTGAATAAAATAACAGAAGCTTTCATGAATTATGAAAAACTAATATTCATTTCGCGGCAAATGTATTAATCAAACAATCGATATGTTCGATTTTTTCGAATCGCACTGAAGCGTGACTGTCGAAAATAAATATAGTGCAGCAAGAATTTAAATACAGAAGCGAAACTTTTGTTCCTGCAATACAATCTAGGGTGAATCGGTATTATCTAAATTCTAATATCATAGCAAGTGAAAAATGATGAAATATTATATAATGCTGTAAGCCCATCAGATGCACCTAATCAATCAAAATTATCAAATATTTCTTTAAGAAGTATTAATTTAATACAACCTATTGCTGAACATGGTCATTATGATATGGATAAAATAGCTAAACTTGTTGTACGATATACAAAAATATTTGATACATTGGAACAATCATTTCCAACCCGGTTTCATAAACCTGATATTGTTGTATACATTGTTTTAATTATGATCTAGTATTAGCACTACAACAATTTATGACACATGTCAATGATGAATAAATGACAAATATACAATTATTAATATTAGAAAATTTATTCTTTAGATGAAATGATTTTTATACAAGGACAATTTTACTATTATTTGATGAATATTTGTCTAAAGAATTGAATATCTTTTTATACGAAATGATTTTATACTTTTGTGGATATCGCAGAAAGATATAATTAGTGTAAGTTTTAAGTCGAGATTTTGCGGCTTTCTCATCATCTCATCGCAAGAAGGGGGAGGAAAGGAGACGAAAATGATTCGAGTACATTTCCATAGCATACAGAGACAGCAGCCATCATGCTTCTTTTCCAGAGTTCCTTAGCGAGGGAAAAGCCGTTGAGCTATTGTTTGCTAGACACTTTTCACTTGAACTTTCTCTTAAAAAATCGACTGGGAATCACAGTAGTGATTCCATGGGTAGTTTCCTTTCCAATTTACTATGAAAATGACCATTATACAAAGCTTTTTTACGTTATGTCATCGATAATTTCTTTGTAACGCTGGAAAAATTGGACAAAGTAACACTTTTTTAATGGCATAGGAAGTAATATTCTCGAAAATTTGTTTATGAACAAGATTTTATGAAGTAATTTAGCTGAATTAAAAAAATAAATGTATAAAACAAATCATCGCAATGATTCAAATGAGATAGATAATTACCTCGGATGCTGTATAAAAATTTTATTAAAATTTATTGAGCATTCATTCAAGAAAAAATAAATCTTTAAAATAAATTCTTCATATTTATTTAGTCAATTATAAAAATGTATCTCCTTTATGAGTATGGTTTTTAATTTTATGAATAATATAGTTTAGTTTTCATTTTCTAGAAGGAACAAATCATTGAATTCTCAACAGACAGAAACTTGTCAAAAAAAAAAGAAAAATCAAAGAAAAAGACATTTGACATCATTCAAAATTATAAAGTTGGCAATTGTTGTAAAAGAACTCATAAAGCATTCTCTCTCAGAATCTCATTGTACTACAATATGAAGTTTTTACTTAAATAATGTTGTCTATATATTTACTTACTTGCTCTTTTTTATTCAAAACTATTCTTCGTTCGGTAAATAACTATATTTCTTAAAATGTTCATTGTTGATTGCTCATTATAATAAGATTATCTACTAAAACATATTATTCCATCAAGTAATAAAGCTATCCCAAGTCGACGATTACGGACTTCGTATACGACCTCGTTACGACCGTTTACAGCCGTATTTTACCGTAATACATGGCTCAGTATTATGATCGTATATCATCGTGACTGTATACGTTGCGATACAATCGTTTACAGAGAAATACGGAGTAAAATGGGTACTGTATATGAACTACGTATACGAAAATCCTAAACGACCATATTTTTCTCTGTATATTGCCGCATTACTCCGTATACGACACGAAGATTTACGATAGTAATATTGAGCTATGTATTTGGTCGTATATCTCCGTATACCATCGTTTACGACCGTACCTGTTCGACCTGGGATCAGGCCCCGTGCGAGCGGGGGGTTTAGGGGGGTGTACACCCCCCTAAATAAAAATTTTTCAGTTTTATCCGGCCACAAGAGCAGATTTTGTCCACATTTTATGATTTTTCTGCAAGATCTTTCTAAAAATACTCTCTTACACCCCCCCAATCTGCCAAACATCCCCCTAATATTTGATCCTTCGCGCGGGCCCCGATTACAATAGAATATAATGAGCAATACAATGCAACAATCAAGAGTACATTAACTCGTGTCTATATTGTCTTTATTTTAATTGATAAAAGAAAAAAGAAGATTGACATCTTCTCACGGATGAGTTTACTATCAATTTAAGTTTATCACTGATTACATCATAAAAGTTTTTTTTGTCGTTTTCGATTCTTTAGAACATTTAAAGTACTCTAAATGAGTAGAAAACTAAACGAGATTAGTAAACAAAATGCTGCATTTTAAATGATTTGACATTTTTCAAAATAAATATTTATGAATATTGTTTAACTGAAAGGAACGATAATACTCACTTGTTGATGAAAGATATTTAGTTTAATATTGCAAAATAAATTCGACAAAAATTTATTATCGAAGTCGAACTTCGGTACGACATATATGTATATATATGTGACAAATGAATTTAAAATTTAACTGAGATTAGAATAGTTGTTTTGTAATTTTGTAATAGAAGATACTGGTTAGCATTTAAATTAAAAATGTTTATTTATTGTTAATTTGAAGTTGACTTGATAATAGAAATATGTTTAGATTGTTATTCTATATATAAAACAATGATAAATTGACTTTATTTATTTTATGTATTGGAACATACATTTCGACAATATTTTCTTGTTATTTTTGGATCATTGAAAGATTGATGAAAGTTTTCGAAAAAAAATGTTCTTTTTTTTTTTTAAAGTATTTATTCAGACGAGTAGTGAGTTGATGTTGGCGGTTTTTAAAAATAAGAATGCATTGCACTACATGTGTCTTATAATTAGTATATTAGAACATAATAAATGGCTATAAACACTAATAAAACTCAAAGCTAAATTTATTGTCTAAAAACTATAATCAATGATATATGATACATAATTATTCATGATAAATTTTAGATCGCATTTTGTTTTTGATAACACAATTAAAGAAAACATAAAAATTTTTTATTCATGGTATTTAATTGTGAATTTATTTTATGAACTCTTTTTTAAATCAATTAGTTCGCATTGTTCACAAAGTTTTATTTCTATGATAAATTTTTGTTTTTTAAGAGAAATATGTGATATGATCTTTAAAGGAAGTAGTACAAAGACTCCGCATCAATTATTGCTTTTTTACTTTCGCTCTTATTTTCCTGTTGTGAATGATATTAAAAATACAAAAAAGAACAAAACCACTAGTATTTCAAGATTTTGAGTATGGAATATTATCTTTTTTTTTTTTTATTGATAAATATGCTTTACATTCGAAATCAATATGTAGGAATACCCTAGAAACTCGATATTTTATTGCAAAATGTTTTATATTAAAATGGTACTCGTACTCTTCTTCAGAATTTTATTAGCACAAATATTACTTTGTAGTGTCCCAGGGGTAAAAAATTATAGAAAGTCGCTTGCAAATGCAAAATAGAGTTTCCGGTATGGCGTTTTTTTTTTCATACGGATTCGGAATATTAAGCTTATTACTCAAGAAAAACAAGAACTTTTTATAATCAAAAATCTTGAAATACAAGCTGTTTTTTTTTTAATATTTTACCTGGAAACAGTTCTCGTCTAACGAGATTAATTTTTCTTACTAACAATGAAAGCGTTCAGTGTCTAGTTTCTTAATTTCATATTCCTATACTATTAATAATTTAAAAATTATTCAACAAAGGAAAACTAGCGAAGCGATATAACCCATAAGAAAAAAAAACGGCAAGTACTTTTATGAACTTTCAATTTGTGAAAAAAATTAACATAAGAATTGAATAGATATTTTCAATTACTTAAGTCAATCTAAAAGTTCTGTCGGAAATATCTTATTTCCGAATAATAACCTCTTAAAAAAAGTTTTCTTTTTTTTTTGTGCAATGATAGAGAAAACGATACTTGATTTTTCTATGCTATTTGATCAATCTTGAACTATTATCATAATAGTAAAATTTTGCTAAGAACTGTTTTTGTATGAAGCTTGAGTTTGTTGAAAAAAATAATAATCATCAGCATTTTTTGCAATAATTCAACAATGGAACGAACTAGAGAACTGAAGTTTTCATTGTTTGAAAGAGAAGAAGAAGATGCACCGAATTGTATATTACAAGTTGCTGTCTAATGTTTACTAGGTCAATTTGTTACGTACCGAAATATTTTTTTTTTAACCGAAAGAAACAGCAAAAAAAATTTTTTTTTTTTTACAGAGAATGAACATCTTATTAAAAAAAATTAGATCAAACAAGCCGACAACATGGAATTCGATGCATTTTCTTCTCTTCTATCAAACAATGAAAATTGCAACTCTCTAGCTCTTTCTATTCTTGAGTTATTGCAAAACTGTTGATGATTATTATTTTTTTAAACAAGCTCAAGTTTCGCATAAAAACAGTTCTTAGCAAAATTTTACTATTATGATAATAGTTGAAGATTGATCAAATAGCATAGAAAAATAGAGCATCATTTTTTCTATCATTGCATAAAAAAAAAAAAAGAAAACTTTGTTTGAGCTTACAATTTGAAAACAAGACATCTTCGATAGAACTTTTGGATTGACCTAAGTATTATCATCAATTGAATTAGGTTTGTTTCAATATTGAATATTTTTTGAGAATAATGAAAAAAACCTGTTATTTCATAAATATTCAAATACTCCCAATAGATTAAACGATCTATTTCTCTTTAGTTTTATTTCATAAATAGTTATATATATATACATACAATTAATTATCTGACAATGAACAACATTTTATAATAATATTGATCCAAAATATAACGTGTATGAACCGTATTTGCACTTTCATATATTAATACTATTCACCAAAGAATTAAGATAAGTCGGTTCTCTTTTTTTTTTTTTCTTTTAGATGAAATCATATAGAGGATTATTTTCTTTTCTTTTCTAGATTGACTTTTATTAGTATTGACTGACAGAAAGAATATATCTATTTAAAATGGCAATTGTAAGTGATATACTATTCGTTTTGTTGTTTTACATAAATTTAATAGAACATATATTAATGTTGATATCTTTTTTCATTTGTGATTTACAATCATTCTATATATCATAAATTTGCTTATCATTGATCAATACTTGATAACTTTGTTATATTTGCTTTTTTGACCCTATTTATAATAGAATGTAAGTGCAATTTTACTTCATATAGCTAATCAAAATCAATTATCATCAATATACTTTCTCACATCAATACACTCTTATTTATATCCCATTACTTAAAATAGTTTAGTATATGCTTCTTTTTTTTTTGTAATCTTCTATAGTTGTCAGCTG